CTCCGTCAGGAAGGCGACTGCGCCAAGAGTGCACTGGAGCTCCCAACTCGCCTGCGCATGCGCTTCGTGCGACGCAACCAGTGCGCGTAGCGATCCGCGAGCTGCCGTGCGCAGCTGCCGCGCATCGGCAGCCAAAACCTCGAGCTTCAGCCTGAGCGCATCCGCCGGCCCGACACCACACACTGCCCCGAAGCGCTCAGTGGCCTTTCTCCAGCCCTGCTGATGCCAAAAGCGGCGCCGCGCATCGCGGCGCCGCCGGAGGTGCGGTTGCTGCTCTGCTATCACACGTTTCGCCGCACATGCCTCGTCGGCCCACACGGCGAGCTGCTTCTGAAGGCGGACTTCTCCGCCCTCGCCGCGGCCGTCGGTCTCTACGAGGCCGTAGAGGACACCCTGTGAGTACGCCAGGCGCTCCTTCGCCGCCTTGAGCGCAGCGCGTGACTCTGACGCCTCCTCCAGTCGGCTGAGAGCCGCTGCCTCCTCCCGCTCGACCGCCGCTCGGTAAAGTCGGGCCGCCGCAGCCGAACGGACGTATTCGGCCGCCCCCGCAGCCTCTGCACAGTCGCGATCGAGCCTCTTGTAGGCGTCGCCACCATCGCACGCCTCGAGCACCGACATGAGCGATGATTGCGCTGCGTCAACTGCCGCCTTGGCCTCAGCGACGCCCTCCTCCCGCCGGAGGGCGGCCACGCCCTCCCGTTGCACGCGCTGAAGGGCCGCCTGGGCGCCGAGCAGGCGCTGGAGCTTCCGCTTTGCTGCGCTGGCCAGCATCCGCGACTCCTCGAGAGTCTCCGCCTCATCGTCGCGCAGGGTGGACATGGGGCGGTTACAGTCTGTCAGCCCAAGGACGCACGAGCTCCGAAGGGGCACTACGGTTTTGTTCTTTTTCTCAAAGGATTCGGATATATCATCTGTCTAGCGTCCACCCATACCGCGTTGGTGTCCAGTCCGAGCCTGGCTGTTCTTCACCTTTCTACGATTCGGGCCTTTTTCCCGGAGTGGGAGCAGAGTGGGAGTGGTGTGACTGCTCCTGTGGTGGGGGTGACGGCTTCTGAGGAAGCCGTCGCCCGCACCTTGCCTCTCGCCTCGCGGCTTAATTCTTTTTGGTTGCGCCGCTTCGGTCGGTGAAAAAAGGCCGCCGCTTGCACTGCTGCTCCCGCCGCACCTGCCCGGCGGTGAGCGCCTGATGGGCACCTACAAACCTGGCGACCTCGTCGTGCTACACTCGCTTCGGAACCGCGCTGGTCTCAACGGCGCCTGCGGCCGCGTCGTTTATGCCAAAGAGGATGAGGAGGTTGCCGCCGACCGCCATGCTGTCCAGGTGCAGCGCGCCGACGGGAGCACCGAGACGCTGGGAGTCAAGCCGACTAACTTGCGGCTGCCGAAGGATCGGCTCGCTGCAATCGTCAACACACAGCGCCCACTGCCACAGCGCCCATTGCTTGCGAGCGCCGGGCAGCCGTCAGAGTCTGTCAAGCGGCACAAGGTGAGTCCGCAGCGCATCCGGATTTGCTCGTCCAACGTGCCGCCAGGGATCGCGAGGAACGCGGTCAAGAACGGTCAGCAGGTCCTGTCCGGCGTGGAAGCGGACCCCGGCGGCGAGCAGTGGCAGGCGCGTGTGAAGACGATGGCCGCGCAGTGGAGCGCCGTGAGGCCAGACGTGATACTCCACCAGGAGCTGCACTCGGAGAAGTTGGAGCAGCTGCACCACGCCGTTGGCTGGCGCCTGCGGCCTGTGGAGTCCAAGTGGTGCTGCCCAATCAGCTACAACCCGGACGTCCTGCAGCCGCTCTTCGCCGACCGCTTCGTGCTGGGCTCCGCGCCCGACAAATTCCTCCCCGAAGGCGCGTGCAGGTGCAAGTTCGGCCAGTGGTCGTACAGCGCGTGCCACTGCTGGCCGGACGACGGCGAGTGGCGCGCCGGCGGCGCCACCTACGCCGCCTTCCGCTTTGTCGACTCGCCGCCCGCGCGTGTCGACATCGTGTGTGTGTCGGTCGGCGCGCCGGTCGGCTGCGAGGCCACGCCGTGGGCCGGCGTCGCTTTACGGCTGCTGGTGTGTGGACAGGTGCACCTGACGGACCGCAAGCCGGACCTGCGGACGCGCGGCGCGCAGGAGGTGCTGGCGCCGCTGCTGCGGCTGCTGCGCGAGCGCTTCAAGGCGCCGGTGGTGTGCGGCGGCGACTTCAACATGACCAAGCTCCAGTCGAGCGACAAGAGGAACAAGAACGGCGGTGGCGTCAACTGGCGTGTAGGCGCGTACGACGCGCTGGTGGGCAGCCACGCGCGGAGCTACGGCGAGGGCGAGAGCGTGGAGGCCGCCCACGTCACCAACCGGAAGCTGCTAGAGCTCGACCTGAACAACTTCTTGTGGCAGGGCGCCGACCCGAACTCGGACTACGAGGAGGACGAGCGGCTGCCGCCGCCCGTGATGGTCGACACGTGGGAGGTGGCGCGAATGGCCGGAACCACCCAGGCCAACGGGTGCAGAGCTTCAACGTGCCACAACTGGTTCGGCCTCTACAGAGGCTTCCAGAGGGCGCAGGTCTACTCGCAGGGGCCTGGCTCCAACAGCATCGACGTCTACCATGAGGGCGAGCATGAGGGGGAGCATGAGGGGGAGCACCGCGCCGTCGTGAGGGGCACGCGGCCCGTCTTCGGCAGCGCGCGCTACATCGACTGGATCCTGGTCGACTTTGCTAGCCTCAAGGAGGAGCGCGTCAAGGTGCTGGGCGCGAAAGTACACACCGCGCCGGGAACGCGTGATCACGCGACCATTCGCCGCCTGCCGGGGGCCTGGGGCGGCCAGAGCCGCGCGGGCGGGCCCATGTGGAAACAGGACTCGGGGTGGGGGTCCGACCACTTCCCGATCTCCACCTCGAGCTCAACCTCGAGCAGCGAGCGGACACGCCCCGGGACGGGTAGACTGAGGCTAATCTGCAGTCACCGTACACTTACTGTTAATACCTTGGTGTGTCTCTTGTACTGAGTGTGCTGGTACAGGGAAGAGTCGCACGTAGTACGCGTAAAATTGTATGGGTTACTCCCATAAGTTTCTCCTCTTTTTAATGAGAGCGCGTTACTTGTTTGACCGACCTGTTGTGCCCCTTCTAGAGCTGTACGCACATGCACTATTATATGTATTAATCTACGGCTTACCATCGCGTGGCTGCTTGGCTCGCATCGGAGACTGAGAGATGGTTTTCAGACACGAACAAACACAAAGCAACTTCGAAACACGCGTGATGACGCACACGCCTCTCGTGTCTCGTCTCATCGAGGGCCCTGTGCGGCGCCCGCTTGGCTCCGCCGCAGCTGCAGGATTTCCTTTTGGTACGACTGGACGGTCGAGGTCATGCTCTCTTGCAACGATGCCAGCTGCTGCTCGGCGGTGGCGGCGCGGCGGAGCAGCTTCGGCCGCTCCGACTCCAAGGCGGCTATGGTGGAGGACATCTCCTTCACCTGGACCTGGAGCGAGGAGGCCGAGCGCAGCTGGGCATAGTCTTGCTTGAAATCGCCCCGAGCCGCCTGCAGCCGCTCGATCTCCGCACGCAGATTCTTGAGCTCGTCTTCGGCCACGTGGCGCCGCTCCAGCTGGCGCTGGAGCTCCGCCTTTTGCGCCGTCAGCGTTTGAATGGCCCGCACCATGGCTGCAGCTTCTCGTTTTCTCTCCCCCACCACGTGTGCCTCCGACCCACTCGGTGGCGTTGGGCTCTGCGGCACAGCCGGCACGGCAATCTGCGGCGGCGACTCCTTGTCTGCCAGATGGCCCGGACGCATCTCAGCCAACGCCGCCGTGTACGCCTGCCCTGCCCGCTCCAGCCTATCTGCCAAGGCGCGCCTAGCCTCCTCCAGCTGCGCCACCCGATGCTCCAGCTCGGCCACGTCCGCCCCGTCCGAAGCGCCCTCGACGGTACTCGCAGGCTCGTTCTGCTGCTTGGCGGAGTGCTTGGCGGGATCCAAGACAGCACCGCGCAGCCGCTCATAGCCGGTCCGAAGACGCTGGTGCCGCGATTGGAGCGCCTGGAGTCGAGCGGTGGCGCTCGCCTCGCCCTGCCGAGCGTCATGTAGCAGCGCGCGGTTCATCTCTGCAATCTCTTGCTGGAAGGATGCCTCGTCCGCCGATAGCGCCGCCCGCTGCTCCAGCTGCCGCTCCAGCATCAAGCGGTAGTCATCTTGCGCCCTCCGCGCTCGCTCGTCGGCCATCGCAAGCTCCTCCTCCAAAGCGTCCGCGCGGGCCGCCGACTCGGTCGCCACCGAGCGAGCCTCACACAGCTCTGGTGACAGCTGGTGACAGGTAGGTGTCGCTGTCGCTGTCGTTTGCTGTCATGACAGCTCCCAGCTGTCGTGACAGCGGCTAACGGTCGTGACAGCGGCTAACCGTCATGACGTGAACTTTCCATAGTCTCTCAGTGTACTGTACTTTTGAGCACTTGAGCACTGGATAGGGCCGATTCCGCGTGGTACGGGACCCCTCGATCGTCTCGCCCTCCCTCACTGGTATGTTCATTGGGGGGGGTCATAACAAACACGGTACAGGATCGAGGTGCACGCTGCCGAAGCAGTGTCGTCCCCCCTCTCCCCGACGGCGATGGCGGTGTGACCGATCGAGCTACAAGAGGAGCTTGTTCAGCAGGATCCGGGATAGTCAGGCGCACTACCTCACTGGGCCTGAGACCACCCACGACAGCATCCCGTCACCGTCTCGGGTTTGCGTGGGGTCGAACCACTCCGGGATGGGCAAGCCCATCAATTTTCATTTTGTTCCTCACCTGGGCCCGCGGGGAGTTGCGGGATGAGTGGAGCTGGGACGAAGAGGGGGAAGAGGAAGGGGAAGAGGTGTGAAAGAACTAGTTCATGAGAATCAAGCTTACTTTCACTGTGAAAGTAAGCTTGATTCTCATGAACTAGTTCTATCAGTGGTTCACCCTCGAACCGACCGTGCACTCTGAACCGTGAACTCGAACTGTGGCAGGACAAAAGGGCGAACCGCGTCCGCGAACCGTGAACGAACCAGGCAGCGTCGGGCCGAACCGTGAACCGTGAACCGACTAGCACCCGCCCCGAGTCCGTGAACCGCGAACCGTGAACGAACCGTGAAGGTTCACTCGCTACGCGTCGCTCACCGCCGGGGCGGGCGCCTGGCGGCGCCGCTGCGCAAAAAGAATTTTACAACAACTGAGACGACAACAAACAGTCAAGCGCAACAACTTCAACCTGCTGCTCCACGAGACGTGGCGGCGGCTTCTCGCCCACCGCCGTTCTCAAGCTGCGCCGCCTCGCGCGCAAAGTCGCGCGCGGCAGCGTTGACCGCACGGCCTACTCGCCCAAGTACTCGCTCTCTTTTATGTCCCACCATGCAGAGCGCATCTCTCTCTCTGTTGTGCGAGGCGTGAACCGCGCCATTCGCTCTCACCTCCTCACCTGGCAACCCTGTCTGCACGTCTCGCGCGCGCGTGAACAGGGCATCAAGCTCTGGACGCCCCTCCTCAAGACCTCCTCGCCGGGCGTTGGCAACGCCTCGAGTGGCGGCACGCCCGCCTCCGTTGGCCACTCCTACGCCTTCGGCAACACCGAAGAGAAGGCCCGCGAACTAGTTCATGAACCGGGTTCACGGTTCACCTCGTGAACTGAGAGGCCTGGGGGCTAGGAAATCGTCGGCACAACAGTTCATGCAAACGTACATGAAGAGCTCTATGCACTATGGCCCAGTCAGTACCTCGCAGCTCGATGAGGTGAGCAGGTGACTTGGACCACCTAGAATTGGCTAGGGCTGCAGCAGCAGCGTATCCCGTATCTCACGGTCGTTCTTCACACGGGTAATGAATTAGTTAATAAACTGATTAATTAATTGATTAACAAACGGAAACTAATTTCCCGGGCGGCAGCATGGTCACCACGACTAAATTCTTTTTGTCGCTTTCGGACTTTCCTCGCGGGATCCTGCCCGCGGAGCATCCCTGCCCACCGCGCCGCGTTACATGCTTGCCGCCGCCGCACTGAGCCACCTGCCTGGCGTGCCCAATTTTCGCGACGTTGGCGGCATCCCGTGCGACGCCGGCGCGCGCTTCACCCGGCCTGGAGTGCTGCTGCGATCCGCATCGCCCTGCTGTGCCAATGGGCAGGCGGTACACGAGCTGGTGGGCGTGCGCGGCGTCGGGACGGTGCTCGACCTGCGTTCGCCGGACGAGGCGCTCGCTGACGACACCAAGGCCTTTCAGGGCAGCTCGCGCCCGCTCGGTCATCTCACGGTCCATGTCAACCTGATGGACTCGTCGCTCGTGCGGAACGGCGTGCTGCGGCGGCTCCTCATGTCGCCGTCCGCTGCGGTCGCGCTCGGCGGCCTCCGCCTGCTGCGAAGCATGCCGCCGCCGCCTGACCAGCACGCGGAGCTGCTGGCGCGCACACGCCTCTCACGCACGCGTGTCGCGCCTGCGCTCTCCCGCTCTCTCTGGCGGGCGGTGGCGAGGTACGCAGCGGCTCGCGAGGCGGCGGGGGCGGCGTACGACGAGCGCGTCGCCGCGCTGCTCGCGGAGCTCTCCCTCGCGGACGTGTACGAGTGGATTCTCACGCGAAACGGCAATGCGGTGCGGCGGGCGCTGGAGGTCGTCGCTCGCGCGCTGCTGCGGGCAGAGGGGGAGAGTAGCAGAGGCGAGGTCGTGGCGAGATGCGTAGGTGTGCGCCGAGGCGCTCCCTCGCGCGCCGGTCCTCGTCCACTGCACACACGGCAAGGACCGCACCGGGCTCCTCGTCTCCCTCCTGCTGCATGCGGCGAGACCTAGCCGAGACATGGCCGAGAGATGGCCGAGACATGGCCGAGAGATGCCCGAGAGAAGGATGAGCTGGCCGAGAGCGGGCCGAGATCTAGCCGAGATCTGGCCAAGAGCTAGGAGAGCTGGCCGAGAGCTGGCCGGGCATCAAGCCGTCCAGCGCTCCTCCCTCGTCCTCCACCGCTTTCGCCGCTGCCCCCCCCCTGGCGTCTGCAGAGGAGGTTGGGGTGTGAACAGCGTCTCTTCACACCTCTGGCTGTGAACAGGCGGGCGCGTCTGCAGAGGAGGTTGCGGCGGAGTACGCGCGCACCGACGCGTGGGCCGCCACAGCAGAGGGGCGGGCGGCGCAGGAGGTGCGCAGAGAGAGATGGCAGAGAGACGTCGAGCCGGGAGACGGGCGGGACACGGGCGGGAGGTGACAGAGAGACAGCAGGGAGGTGCCAGAGAGGTGGCGGGGAGCTGCAGAGAGCTGCACAGAAAGAAGAGGGGGGAGGGGGGGGTAACGAGCCGGCAGCCCGCCCGCCCACCGCGCCCACTGCCCCTCCCCTCGCTCACCTCGCCCACCGCGCCGCCGCCTCGGCCGCAGGCGATGCTGCCCGCCCGGCTTGCTGCGCGGCTCGACCTGGACGGCTTTTGCCGCGCCAACCCGGCGACGCTGCACGAGCTGTGGCGGCGGGTCGAGGCGCGGTACGGCTCGGTGGACGGGTACATGAGTGCCATCGGGGTCGCCCCGGCGACTCGCGCGGCGCTGCGCGACGCGCTCACTGCCCCACGGCCGCCGGCCGAGGGCGGCCCTGCAGCGGGCGGGGAGCGGGGGCAGTAGCGCCGAGTCGGGTAGGAACTACAGGGCACGAGACTACAGTACGGGCTTTGGCACGCTGGGGACGTACGGCGTCCACTCTGGGGGCCTCGCGCATCGCTAGGGGTAGGAGCTGGCTAGAGGCCAAGGCCCCTTTGCGGAGGCCGGAGGGCCGCCACACCGAGTATTTCCCACATATTGGTTCGTTGATGCGAGTTCCCTCTTCCGAAGCGCGCATGGAAGCGCGAAGCCGTAAGGCCACCAGTTCCATCTCTGAGACTCTGACTCTGTGTGGCGCGTGCGTGCACCCAGGTGCGCACACAGCAACAGCGCCAAGATATCTAAATAAAGAGTATTGGGACAGCATTGACGTCTATGATTCAGAGTTTGCGCTCTCTGAGTAAGAGAGCGCAGAGTGCCGCGCGCACACACACTGGACCACTCTCTCCGCCCTCGACCCCGCCTGAATTATAATTCCTATCTCCCCTCCCCTAGCTGGCCTCGAATCAAACAGCCTAGCAGACCTGCAGAGCACGCTGCATCTCTCTTGACGATCGCGCCTCCTCGCTCCTGCTCGCGGCGCCTTGGTCCTTCGTTGCGCGCCCTTACTTGATGAGGAACTTCTTCGCGCTGAGGGCGGCGAGGGTGGCGCAGGGGACCCAGCCGCCAAGCTGGCTCTTGAGCGGGCCGGTGGTGACGAGGGTGCCCATCTGGGGGACGGGGAGGTGCGGCGGCGGGGGGGTTGGTGATGGCGCAAAGGAGGGGAAGGGGGCGAGGGGGCGAGGCGGGGGTCTCGCCTGCCACCACTTGACGTGCATGAGGGTCCAGCCGATCCACGCAAAGGAGAGCTTCTTGCCGAGGTTGGTCTTGGCGGCCTGGGTGGGGAAGCAAAGAGGGTGGCTATGCGGTGGCGGCTGAGGGAACTCCGGTGGCTGAGGGAACTCCGCGAGTCCCGCGCGCCTCGTCGCCGTTCTGAGCCGTGTCATACGTCACGTAGGCGAGGGTCAGGAGGCCGATCCCAAACGCCTCTGACAGCTGCTGCCAGCCCTCCGTCGGCTCGCAGTCCCAGTAGCGGACCGAAGCCCACCTGAGGGTACCGCGCGCAGTCACGGCGGAGGCGGCGGCGGGGGGGGGCTGTATCTGCGGGGAGTGTGCACGCACTTGGACCCGACGAGGGCGCTGCCGAACTCGCTCCCGAACGCGGCGAGCCCGGCGGCGTTGGCGAGGAGGACCTGCTTCGAGTCCAGGCCTCCGCGCAGCTTGAGCGTGGACTTGACCTTGGGGGCGGCCAGCGTCGCGCCGTGCGCGGAGCCAGCGGCGAGGAGGGCGAGGACGATCTGCGAGGCGTACGAGGGCGGCTGTGGCACAGGGTGCGTGAACAGGCTTTCACAGACTGGTGCGAACGCTGTGAACGTGCGTGGCGACCGCAGCACCCCGTGCGCGAGAGGCGTGAGGCTAGAGGCGGGACGCCACGCGACGCAGCATGCTCACGCTGTGACTGCACACCTTCATGCTGATGATTTGCGTCTCGTTGTGCCCGTCGGCAATCGCCCCCCCCAGGCCTGGGATTGATTGCCGAGGGTTCGCCGCTCTTTTTTTTTAGGACCACGGCGCTACCAAGGCGTCATGCCATTCGCCATCGGCGTTGCGACTTTTCAAAGTTAGAGGGGTTGCGCCGAGTCCCTAGAGCGCTCACGGAAAGAGAATTCGCCCGGCTTTTAGCTTTTTTGAGGAGGCGTTGTTTTTTAGATCATAGTACAAGATAATGAGAGCCTTTAAGCTTTGTTGGTTCCCCGCGGAACGATCAGTGAGAATGTGTTGACGCTGCTCAAAAGTCACGCCGCCCCCGGTGGTCCGCGGCGTTCTCGCGGTTACCGTCGTAGCCATCGTACGCCGCCGCGTCTCCGATCCAGCCGCCCTCGCCCCTGCTGTCGTAGCCATCTCTGTACCCCGCCCCCCTCCACCCGCCTTCGTCGTCGTACCCTTGACGCTCCCGCCCCTCCGCACGCCGGTCGCGCCGAAAGCCCTGCCCCCCGTAGCCGTCCTGGCTGGCGTACCCGTCTGCCCAGCCGCCCCGCCCCCCCCGCCGCTGGCCCCGCCCCTGGCCGTACCCGTACTCGTCGTAAAGGTCGATCGGGGCCTCGGTGTCGTCGCGGACGAGCGGGGCGCCGCTGGTAAAGTACACCACCAGGGCGGCAGGCGCGAGGAGCGCAGCCACCAAGACGCCGGGCGCGGACTCGTAGGACGCCACAGCTGGGCGCGCTGCCACCGGCGCCGGCCTTGGTGGTGCCGGCTGCGTCTTGGGCGGCGGCGCTACAGCTGACCGCGGTTCGAGGGGCGGCGCGAGGGGCGGCGCGAGGGGCGGCGCGAGGGGCGGCGCCACGGCGGGCAGCGGGCTGCGGGCGACAGCCACGGGCGGAGGGTCATACAGGACCGCGTCTGGCGGGGCGGCCGTGCCCAGAGCCACCGCGATGGAGAGGAGGGAGGTGAACACCACCGCGGCGGCGGTGGCCGCCGCGTAGGGAGGGAGCGGCCCCCACGGCGACGACACGCCCCCGTCCCCCGTCCCTGGCTGCCGTGTCGGCGGCGGCACGCCAAACGGGGGCGGTAGGCCGGGCTGGCCTGGAGGCGGAGGCGGCTGGCCAAAGGGAGGCTGGCCAGGGGGCGGAGGCTGTTGGCCAAAGGGAGGAGGCTGTTGGCCAAAGGGAGGTGGCGGCAGCCCCTGGTGCTCTGGCGGCGGCAAGCCCAAAAGGGACGAGAGGAGGGAGAGGAACCCCGGCTGCGGCATAGTAGGTGGTTGGAGGCCGAACGGCGGCGGCGTGCCCGGGCGCGGCATCGGGAACGGCGGCGGCGTGCCCGGGCGCGGCATCGGAGGAGGGAGGCCGAACGGCGGCGGCGTGCCCGGGCGCGGCATCGGAGGAGGGAGGCCGAACGGCGGCGGCGTGCCCGGGCGCGGCATCGGAGGAGGGAGGCCGAACGGCGGCGGCGTGCCCGGGCGCGGCATCGGAGGAGGGAGGCCGAACGGCGGCGGCAGTCCAGGCGCCTGTGCTCCTCGCGGAGGAGGCTGAGGCGCCGCGACTCCGCCCGGGGGGGGCCACGCTGGCGCACGCTGCTGCTGCGGCGGCCGCACACCAAAGTGAGGCGGCTGCTGCTGCGGCGCTTGCGGAGCCTGCCCAAACGGCGGCCGCATGCCCTGCGGTGGCGGCGTCTGAGGCACGGGCGGCCGCTGCGTGGGCGTTGGGCCCTGGCGGCCCGGCTGTGACTGGGGTGCGGGCGGCCGCGGCGCTGAGCCGAATGGCGGCGGCGGCAGGTTGAAGGGCGGCGGCATGCCCTGCTGCTGCGGCGGCGGCCACGCTTGGCCGCCGGGAGGCGGTGCAGCAGCGAGGCGCGCCTCGATCTCTTGGAGCCGGCGAACGGCGACGGCGTCATAGCCGTTCCGCAGCTGCGCTTCGAGGCGGGCGCGCTCCACTTCGAGCTCAGAGCAGACGACACTCGCACGCGTGCTCCGCAGGACCGGCAGTGGCTGCTGCAGCACACCGGCACGGCCCCTGAAGAGGACGTGCGCGCCAGCCGGATGGAGCCCAGCGAGCACAAGGAGAAGCTGGCAGCCCTTCATCGCGGTGTCTCTCGTCTCTCCGTCCGCTGGCTCTCGAGGTCTACGGCGCCGTCGTTGTTGATCGAAGATGATCGAGATTTCGCGAGCCACGGTTTCTTTCTCCCTGTTGTTTGGAGAGTACGCCTTACCCCACGCCGCCGCCCCAGACAAGTAGAGATCGCGCGCAAGCTCTTCCCACACGACGGAGCCTGTGCGCTCAGAGACAAACCCTTTCAGACAACCAGCTAGATGGCGCAAGCACTTCCCACAGACCGGACCCTATGCGTTCTTCCTGTTCATGGTGCGCTCTTTTGGTCCGCGCGGCCCGGATCCCTTCAGGCAAGAAAATCACGCAAACGCTGCCCGTGCCTCTGAACAGCTGCGTCGCCCGGGTGCGCCTGCATAGCCCCTACCGCCGTCTCGGTCGCGCCCGCAGTCACAGCTCGCTGCCTCCGCGCCCGCGCTGCGGCGTCGCTGCTGAAGCACACGTTGTTGACCAGCGCCAAACAGCCAAACCGCTGCACACCCGCCACCTGCGGGTGAGCCTGCATCGCCGCCACAGCCACCTCGATGCCGCCCGCGTCTGCTGCGCGCTGCTTGCGTGCGAACGCTGCGGCGTCGGTGCCAGCGCACACGTTGCCCATCGCCAAGCAGCCATCCTGTTGCACGCCCGCATCCTGCGGGTGAGCCTGCAGCGCCGCCACAACCACCTCGATGCCGCCCGCGTCTGCTGCGCGCTGCCTCCGCGCCCGCCCTGCGGCGTCGGTGCCAGAGCACACGTTGGCCATCGCCATGCAGCCACCCTGCTGCACGCCCGCATCCTGCGGGTGAGCCTGCATCGCCGCCACGACCAACTCGATGCCGCCCGCGTCTGCTGCGCGCTGCTTGCGTGCGATTCCTGCGGCGTCGGTGCCGGCGCAAGCGGGGGGGTTCGGGCCGGCGCACACGTTGGCCATCGCCATGCAACCATTCTGCTGCAAGTTCGCCACCTGCGGGTGCGCCTGCATCGCCGCCACGATCGCCTCGATCGCGCCCGCGTCCGCCGCAAGTTGCCTGTTCTGCGCCTCTTTGCACAGATCAACCAACCGCCCGCAAGCCGCAAGCGCGACGCGACTGACCGACCCGTGCGCCCGCAGCGCCGCCGTCGCCGCCGCCACGCCCATCGCCCGCACCTCCGCGTCGCTCGGTGGCGCAGCGGCGGGGACATGAGCGCCGCTGCCGCCGCCGCTGCTGGAGCCGCCGCCGCCGCCGCCGCCGCCGCCGCCGCCGCTGCCGCCGCCGCCGCCGCTCGGCGCAGCGTGGCGCTGCCGCTTGGGTGCCGGGCCGGCGCTCGCACTCCCCTCGGCTGAGTTGTTCTGCACGGCCGCCACCACCTCGGCCCCCATCTCCATCTCGACCTCGATCACGTACGCCGGGTACATCTGGCGCGACTCGTACACTACGTGTATGAAGGACGCGTCGCACCCGTTCTCGCCTCCGCCGGAGACGAAGGGGCGGTGGGGCCCGCCGCGCACGCTGTCGTAGAGGAGTCGGGGAGGGCCCTCGACGCGCACGTCCGGCATCCGCATCGCCCTCGTCTCCGCGCTGATGCACTGCCCCATCTCCTGCTGCGAGCCGAGGGCGGCCTTCACGATGAGCAGCTGCACGCGGCGCCCGCCCGAGCCGGAGATGCGGTGCGCGTACCGGCCGCCGATCGGGTAGGACGGGTCCTCCGCGAGGTAGATGCCCTGGCCGTAAAAGCCGCCGTTCGAGAAGCGCGGGTCGAGCCCGTTCTGATGCGCGAGCACATCCTCCGCCGCCCGCTCCGCCGTGCCGTGGAAGAGGAGCATCTCGTTGACGTCGCCGCCGGCGCAGGTGTGGACGAGCGATGCGTCGCGGTAGTGGGCGTACTCGCACCACAGCTTCTTGTTCTGCACGCGCTGCACGCGGCTCAGCCTTGCACTCGGGCAGCTCCGCGCCAGCAGCGTCTTGATGAGGAGCGCCTCATTGCTCTGCATCGAGAGCTGGACGAGCTTCGACTCGGTCGGGCCGCCGTCCCCGCCGCCGGCGCCCCACTCGTCGGGGAACGTCATCGGAAACGGGCGCGAGAGGGAAGGGCCGCGAGAGGGGAGGGCGTGCACCGCGAGAGCGCGGCCGAGGCGGGCGGGTCAAGTGGTGAAGTGCTCCCGGGAGTCGTGGTCGGAGGCCGGGACACTACGCGCACCAACTTTAGTGTGCGGAAGGGACGTCCGCGCTCTAAGTTAGTGGGTTACTCGAGTAGTGGCTTAGTGCGCGTAGTGTAGTGAGTGGGCTGCCGGCGAGCGGGCTAGTGGGTCAGTGCCTCCCGCCACCCCGCGCTCTAAGTTAGTGCGCGTAGTGAGTGGGCTGCCGGCGAGCGGGCTAGTGGGTGAGTGCCTCCCGGCGCTCCCGCGCCACCCCGCCCACCAACTTAGTGCGCGTCAGTGGGTCCGCCTTCTAGAGAGAGAGAGAGAGATTTTAGAGAGAGAGTTTTCGTGTTGTTGAGATTTTTAGAAGCCAACCAGAAATCTGGCACTGACAGTGATTTGGGCTCGGCAGCTTGTCGACTACCAGCCGAAGCCGGGCGGGAGTCGGAACCGTATAGCCGAGATGGTCGCCGAGGGTGTCGAAAATGTCATTCGCCTCGCTAGTAGAGCCGGAGCCGCATGAGTCTTGGTTGGTCGGAGGAGGAGTCGTCCGGAGGAGCTTCTAGTGGTCGGCGAGGCCGTGGCCAGTGCCCCGGCCCTGCGGCGCCGCCTAGTGAGTGACTGCTTGCCGACCCTCCCCACACTAAGTCGGCATCGCTGTTGTGTCCAAACATAAATAAATAGAGCAGTCATCTCCAGGGAGAGATGGGCGACGCACACGAACACAGAGGGTCAGTGCGCACCCCGCCCCGCTCGCAGGGCGTGCAGTGTCCAAGACCTGGGGTGACGCCGCGCTGATTTTTTTGTTTTTGAGCTTAGCCTTCGATGTGGGAAACAACTTTGTTTTTTATGCGCTCCCAACTGAAGGTCTTTGCCATCAGCATGGAGGATTGCAGCATGGAGGGCGTCGCCGCGCCGCTGGCCCCCGGTAGGCGCGTTCGCATCGATGGGATACTGTCACGGCCAGAGCTCAATGGCACGTATGGAAAAATCAGCGACCAGAACGAGAGCGGCCGCTTCAACGTGCAGCTCGAGATGGAGGTGAAGAGCGGGCAAGGGACGACCTTCATCCTTTCCAACCGGTTTGTTGCTGTGAAGCCGCAGAACCTCGCCTACTCCCCGCGGATGCCCCGCGACGTTGCGAACGCTGCCACGCATGGCCATGTGGCTGTGGTTGCCGGGTGGCTTGACGCCGAGGCGGCAGGAGCGATCGAGGCGCGGCACCCTCTTGATGGCGGCACATTGCTGCAGCGTGCGGCGTGCTGCGGCCACCTCGAGCTCACCAAAGAGCTCCTGCGGCGTGGCGCACAGGTTGACGTACAGTGCATCATGCAGGGTCAGATGAGCTGCACGGCGCTCATGTTTGCCGCGGCGTCCGGGCAGCTGGAGATTGCAAAGCTGCTCCTGGAGGCTGGCGCTCGCACCGACCTCGAAATGGCCGGCATGAATGCGCTCGCCCTTGCGTCCAGCAGCGGCCATCACAACGTTGCGGCACTGCTTCGTGGCCACGGCTCGCCACAGACTTGCACCGCCGATTGGATCGAAGAGCGTGAGCGCGAGCCAGCCTCGGCCCAGATCCCGTGGAAGGGCGACTCTTGCGCCCAGTGCGGGCTCCTGCAGCAACCCGATCAGCGCTTCAAGTGCTGCCCGGTCTGCACCGAGATGCGACTGGCGATCCCAGCACGGTTTTGCTCGGATGTCTGCTTCAAGCTGGCCTGGAAGGGTCACAAGCGCTGGCACAAGCGGCGGGGCGAGCGCGGGCCCTCTGACCCGAAGGTGAAGGAGTGCAGCTCGCTCTTTTCGAAGCTGAGCGAGGACACCTCCGCGGGGCCCCGGTCGCCAGTAGAGCGGGAGTACGCTGCGCTGCTGGCCAAGGCCACGCAAGCGCTGCAAGAGCAGGACGCGAAGACCTTCAAAAAGTACGTCAAGAGGGCCATCACGCTCCACCCGACCTGCCCAACGGCACACTTCTTGATGGCCGACATCCTCCAGCAAAGCGACGACTTTGCCGGCGCAGTCCCGTGCTACACCAAGGTGATGGACCTGATTGGCGGACCTGGCCAAAAATCCGCCTTCTCCGGCAGCACGCTCATGATGCGCAACTGGGGCCGCGCTGCAGCAGAGATCGCATACTGCACCATGGCTGGCGACCTGCCGCTGGCCTCGTGGATGACAGACGCGAATTCAAACATCGCCTTCGCCACCAAGGTCGTGGACGCAGACCCCGACTACGCGCACGCGCACGTTATGTTGGCGAACGCGCACGTCTGCGACCCTGGCCGCCCGTCGTGGCGAGTGCCGAGCCCCACGATCGAGCAGATCCGGTCGTGCGTGAAGAGCTACGAGCGCGCGGTCGAGCTGGAGCCGGCTGCAAGCCACCGTCGGCCGATCTTCGCGCAGCACGCGGTGATGGCCAAGGCCCAGCTCCGCGCGGCCATCGGCAAGGAGGTGGCCGCCGCCAAGGCCTCGCCGCCCACGATCGAGCTCAGCGGTGAACTCGACCCGTTCCAACTCGCATCCATGATCAACGGTGACGCGGACCCTGCGGCTCTTCTGCAGGCCGCGCCCGCGTTGTTTGCTGCGCTCAACCTCGGCTTCGATACGAGCAGCGCCAAGCCGGCGGACTGAAGCCAAGAGTGAAGCCGCACACAAGCGCGGGGGCGCAGGGGGGCGCCGGCCGCTCTGCATGCGCGCGTCGGGGCGGGTTCCCCATCTCATCTGCTGCTTACTGAGTCATGAATGCACACGCATGTTGTCATGAGAGACGCTTCCGGCGGAGCGACTGATTCATCTTGGCTTGCGGGTCTTGCTGCGGGATGCTGCGCTGCTCTCGTCTCCCGAGTCCCGTCCCGCGCGCCGCGGTGTCGACGAACTACACATGTACATGTTGTAGCAACTGCATGTGCATGGACGACGCGATCTCCCCGGTCGCATCGAAAAAAATCGTAATTTTTCCGAAAAACGAGTGTGAAAATAACTGGGATCCCACAAACACGACATGGTCGAGTGCCAAAAGACCTGCTCCTCTCCCAACGCCTCGGCCAGCCCCTCGACCGACGTCTCCGCCGTGATGCCGTACCGAATCCGCTCCTCGTGGAGCGTCTTGAGAAGCCTGATCAATCCCTCCCTGTCCAGCTTCGCGGGCTTGGCTGCGGCTGCCTCTGACGCCGCCTCGGGATCCTGCGACGGCCCAGCGCCGCCGCTCCCGCCGCCCTTCTTCTTCTTCTTCCCCTTCTTGCCCTTGCCGCGCTTCTCCGCCTCGACCTCCGCCAGCAGCTCCTCGGCGTGCCGCGTCGCCTCCGCCTCCGCCGCCGCCCGCTCCGCTGCCCTCTCCGCCGCCCCCGCAGCCCACGCCGCGAGCGCGTGGCAGCGGACGCCCCGCCGCGGCTGGCGTCGTGGCCGGTGGCAATCTTCCGCGTCAGCAGCGCTACTCGATGAGCCTCCGCTCAGCGCGGGACTCGCCCTTCGCCAGGCTGGCATCGGAAGTCGGCGCATGGCGGGGCGGCGGCACCGCCATGCGCCTTGCGGCGTCGGCGCGGGAGGACTCCACCACCGAGGGCTACGCGCGACATTGGCGCGAGTTTGAGGGGTGGTGCGACGAGGAGGGCCTCGACCCGCTGCCCGCCACCCCGCAGATGATCTTCGCCTATGTCGGCGCGCTGGCCGAGAAGGGGACGATCGCTGCGAGCAGCCTCCAGCCCTACCTCTCGGCCATCAACTCGTACCACGCCGACTGCGGCTTCGACAAGCCTGCCCTCGGCCACCTCGTGACCGCGGCGCGCCGGGGCATGGCGCGGGGCCAGGCTCGCTGCGACACGCGAGACACGCGTGTCCCAATGCCGGCGGCTGCGGCGGCGCGTATCCTCCGCGCCACCCTCGCAGCCCTGCCCTCTCTCGCGGCGAGGAAGGGTTCGCGAGGCGCAGCTGACTTCCTCCGGAGGCGCTACGCCTTCGTCCTCTCCTTCGTCTTCATGGGGCGGCAAGACACCTCGACCGGTCTCCGCTCCGCCGACCACGGTATCGATGAAGGCAACTCGGGCTTCATCTGGCTCCGCATCTCCGAGAAGATGCGGTGCGGCTGGGCGTTCCGGCGCATGCCATCGTGCGCCTCCCCCTCACCGCGAGGTCCTTTCACGGCCATGCCTCGCTCTTGCCCCAGCTCGGGGAGCTAGACAGGGCCTACCTCGCCGCCCGGGCGGCGCTCGGGGCGGCGCCTGAGTGGCTCTTCCAGCTTCCCGGCGAGCGGCGGCCGGCGTCACATGGTGGGCTGGGTGAGCGAGACGCTCGACGAGGAGGGCGTGCGGGCTCCGGCCGGCTTCGTCTACCTCGGCCACTCGCTGCGCTCTGGCGGCTCAAGCGCCGCGGAGGCCATCCGGGTGCCCCGCTTTCGGGGCAACTGGCTCGGCGGCTGGTCTCAGAATGGCCGGACACGCGAGCTTCACTACATGGACCCGTCGGTGCTGCCGTCGCCCGAGGCCTACGAGCTTCTCGGCTGTGGCTCCTGGACGGATCCTACCAGGCGCTTCCACCGTCGTGGGAGCGCCGCCGCGGCGTTGCTGACACAGCGGAGCCTGGCGAGCCGACGAGCTAGCTCCCTCGTCACACACGCGCACGGACGCATGGAGATCCGCGCGCGTGCCACACACACACACACACACACACACACACACACACACACACACACACACACACACACACTCCATACGCGAGCCCGCTCTCGCTCCGCCGCTCGTGCGCCCCGCGCACGTCGGCTTTCTCATGCCTCCGGCCTCCGAGCGCCCACCTCGGGCGCTCGGGCGGTTGGGGTGGCATATCGGTTCCCTGGGCGTTCACATCGCTCGCTTGTTCTATGAACGGCGCTCACCTGGGTTTGGTTTTGCTCAGGATCAGTCCTCGATTCATGTCGAACTCAGAGTACTCGAACCGGCTCACGCTGCGCGTGACGCTGGACGAGACCCGCCGCCTCGGCCTCGCGGTGGACAGCGCGCACAGCGTCGTCGAGGTCCGGCTAGACTCGCCCGCGGAGCTCGCGGGCATCAGGCGCGGCGACCGAATCGAGTCTTGCTGGGATTGGCATGATCCTACGCGCAAGTGGTCGCTCGCGAACGTCTCGCTGAAGGTGGCGCTCGACAAACTCAAGCCGGCGAACGACTTGGGGTTTGAGGTGTCACGTGCGAACTGGTTTACCTCTGGACCCGCCAACGCCGTCCCGTCGCCCGCGCCTCCTGCCGACGGCGGCGGCTCTCGCAGCAGCGGCTCGGCGGCGGCCGAGCTCGCCAAGGCGCTCCTGTCGCCAGTCGCTTGGGACGTGGACAGGGTTCCGATCCTGGACATGACTACCACTACTAGGCGCTCTCGGAGAGGATGAGTATGAACCTGGACCTGCCGCCCGCGCAGATCGGTCGCGCGGGCGCGGAACTCCTCAACAGCCGCACCAGTCGGCTGGTCCAGCTGCGGGTCAAGGGGCTGGCCACCGGGCCCGCGGGGGGGCGCAAGGCCGGGATCCGGATGCAAGGCGCGCCCACCACACTCGCTGTCTGTGACCCGCCCGCGCGCTCCTCGCCTCTGCGCGTCTCCAAACGCCCGGGAGAAGGAAGCTGTGCGAGCTCTGTACTGTCTCCCCCACGGCAGGCACGGGGGGGGGGGCACAATACACCCCCACCCCACCCCGCCTCGCCATCGCCTCCTGCTCCGCACCACTGACCCTCACCCTCACCCTCACCCTCACCCTCACCCTCACCCTCACCCTCACACCCTCACACCCTCACACCCTCACACCCTCACCCTCGCACCCTCGCCCTCATCCCCACCCCCACCTCGCACCCCCACCCCCACCCCCACCCCCACCCCCACCTTCATCGGGACCCCCTCACCACCCCCTTACCCCGAGCAGGTAACA